TTTTTTCTCCATAAAATCTCGTTTACCAATCTAAATCTTGCGCTGGCCTACAATTCTTAAAAACATACAAAAGATATGGTTTTTTGTGCTTAATTTGAGTCTTACTAGAGGTTTTAGATAGAAAAAACTGCCGAAAAACGGGATTTTTCATGACAATTTTCCATAAAATGTGAAAGTTATATACTGAAGATTCTCGTAAAATCATATTTTTGCAAATTCCGACTCAAAAATGGTTCAAAGTGCTTGCTTCTGATTACTGATTTACGTTTTTTATTGATTTGCTTCGAAATTTTGTGTGAAAAATACTTAAATTGCGCATTTAAAAGTTAAATTTTGAGGATATATACGTAAAATGATACTTTTACCTGTTTGGACCCAAAAATAGTCCGAAGTAGCTATGTTTTATTGCTGATCTGATTTTAGTCGGTCATTTTCCATTACTTTTGACCCGTTCGTCACATGGATTTGCATGAAAAAGCAAAAAACCAAGTAAAAGTAAATTTTGAAAATCCTCTGCAAAGCAAATTTTTCAAATGACCATAATTTTCTTATATGGAACCAATTCGACAAAACCCTTTTGAGGGTTTTCATGTCTCTTGGTCCTCTCCAAACTTTGATATATCCGCTCTGGGTTAGGCAACTTTGACTTTTTTTTGTCGCACAGTGTAATACTAAGTAGTAATTATTTCAAGGTTCATTGATCAAAATATAGGACATGTTACTCAAAATGAACTTATAATTATAAAGGTTTACCTTTTCGAGCGGCTATGTGGAGAGACGTGAGTTGTGTAGGTGATGTTTGATCATTTACATGTGCACCTTTTTCAATTAATAATTTGGTCATCTTGTTGAGACCTTTATGCAATTGACGAATTTTCAATTGATTTTATTTTAGCGTGATTTTGAAAGTTTTCTATGCAGGAAAAGTGAAAAACCAAGTACGTAATACCTTTGTCGGCACTATAGTGAAGCGGTGATGCTTCAAAGCCGTTACTTGAATTTCTTAGATTGACATCTGCTTCGTTACTTATTAGCTCTTCAACGTCCTCCAAAGTTCCTGAAATTGGCAAAAAAATTTCATACATGCTCTCACATGAACAATATTTCTGAGCGTTTTCTATAAATCGTTATTCATGTCGTACCTTTTTGAATAATTTCAAACAGCGGCTTCCACGTTCCATTGTTATATTGGAGGCGTGTCCTTGTCTCGTTCGCACTTCCATTACGATGGGGAGTTGCGGTTAAAATGTTAATAAAACAAAAATTATCGCAATTAAAATCTTCATCTTTGGTTTTATATTAAATCAACCACGTGGGTATCAAATGCGAATTAGAAGTTGCTGAATAATTACAAATTCTTAACAAACAATATGAATATGGACCACACCCAATCTATTTTTTGAAAAATATGCGGATAAATCGTAGTTGAGGTAGCACACTTGTCTAACGAATGATTGCACAGTGCACACTGACTGAATGCAAATTACGCGGGGAAATCTTCATACGTAATACAAACCAAACAATTTAGTTATAAATAGAAATGAGTTCGATTGAATGTGTGAGCGCAATAAAACAATTTGGATCTGAAATTTTTAATAGCGTATTTTTGTGCTCACACATTTAATTGCCAAATGGAATGATCTTGAATTCAGCTATGTGGTTGTCCCAAAAGCCGCTCCGATTCAAATGCTAGATATTATTGGTAAACAGAATTTTAGCAAATGATAGGTAAAAACGCATTTGATATAAATTATATCATACCATGAACCATGTGAAAATAATCCGAGTGCGTAAATTTTTCAGATCTAGTATTTACTGTTATTTCGTGGTATTATTGATTACATTTCATTTCATTTCACAGATGAATTTGCAGTGGGAATATGCCGAGGATTTCAGGCACGGTTAGTGACTGTTCAATGTTCATACCTTTTTTACGGTTTATACTCCTCATCGTATTCGCTATCGTACAATTTTTCATGCGGCGTATGACATGCGGTCAGCTTGGAAGGCCAACCAAACATTCTATTCGATGCGACTGGAATGAATATCTGTCCAATATTACTTTAACGAAGAAATGTTTCATTTGTCGATTGATTGTGGTTCGATATTGCTAAACTATATTTTGACATCAATATCAATTTCGTCCATGTTATAATCGAATTCTTCAGGAATGGGAACAATGGTCATTCTTTGGGAAAAATTGGATGCCGAAACGAAATGCATAAATGGTTATGAAAATTATGCTCAGTTTACACTCAAAGTCAGGTATAACTTGATATATCTGAAACACTTGGGCAACTTGTTTGTGGCAATGTGCGGAATGTTTTTTTGATCTTTGTGAAAAGCGAGTTTACTAAACTAGCATTTAAACACGTCAACGCAATCGATTTCGTGAACTCTATCCGCTTTGCAACTCGAATCAAAGTGACTTAACTCAGTCAGTAGGTGATGAACAGTCTGTATGAATGCCGATTCCCTGTAAAGAGCGATATCGAATGACTTACAATCTACTGATAATCAATATATTGTTGCATTTATCTCTATTTAACAGTTAATTGATGATTCGTTGTTTGGAGCTGCTGCATAGTCTATCTAAAAACGAAATGTGGATTGATAAATTGGGTGTAAAACTTAGTTGTATACTCACACATTTTAGTCAAAGTGTGTCAAAAAATGACAATATGCAGCTGAATTTTTAGAAAGAACTCTTATGGTTTGATTACGCCTGTGCAGTGTGGACGTGCAATCAAAACAGATCAAAGTAATTTTGACCCACATCGACATTTTGAAAGAGAAAATCCATGAAAACTTTCAGAAATTCGTATTCCAACTGAATTTAGTAGCGTTGACCATTTTCTAACACCGTCCATAAAAAATCGCCGAGTTAAAGCAGATTACCACTCAAACTGTGAGCACCTAATTTTCTTTCATTATTCTTTAAGCTGAATAATAGCTTCTCTAAAAAAACAATAAAAATAGTATGCTACTAGCCCATCGATTTTATAGACGTGTCGAACACGACCGAAATTCTTTCTCGAAATATTTTCACTGAAAATTTTACCTAAAATAGAAGAATGAACATGAAATGCATTATAGTAATTTATTACGATTTTACTTTAATGACGATTTATGATGAAATTCCAATAAAGTTTTGACGATGAAACGAAAAGTCATTAATAATGACTCATTATAAACTGCATTTTTCGGCGGCACAAAGTTGGCGACCACAACATATGAATGCCGCATGCTTTTTTTCATTTTCTATTCAAATATGAATTTCATATTTGTGTTTAACCCACCCAGGGTCCTTTGTTCATTTTCAATTTAACCAATTATTATGGTTTAAATTAAACAATCTTTCCATAGATTCTTTTTTAGAAATTCCTGTGTTTTTGTTTGGGCAGCCCCAGAACTGTAACCCCTACAATTCTGTAACTTTCCAACCATTCCCTCGTGCCCGTTTGTATTGTAAAACCGAACATTTTCACTCGAATCCAAGGTATATGCTCATATGAGTATGCTAAAAAAATGTAAATTCACTGATCGAATGATTGTTCTTGCGATCGTGTATGGGTTAAGATTAAGTCATTGCATTTGATGTCATAAAAATCGATTGCGTTATGACGTTGCTTTTAGGGAAATCATGTGATTACTTCGTTTGGAATTCAATCGACGCATGCATGCGGCACTATTAAGGCTATTCACACAATAAACTGATTGGCTATTCACATCATTATTTATCACATTTTTTGTGTCTTCTCTTTGACGCATGCTTGTTCCAAATACGAGAGAACCCATTCATGTGCCAATTTCGAAAATCAAATAGAAAAGTCGGAAATATAACCGACCGATAAACAATATTCAAGCTATTTGCGTCTATTTCTCCTCTTGTTTGTTTGGTTTCTCTTTCTCTGTTCCTCTTTCGATTGTACGCACTGCATTTCTTCCAAGGTCGATACACCACAAACATGTTGTCTGCTTTCATGTCTACCTCATCGAGTATTGCTTATCTTTTCATCGGCACTTTTGGCTTCTTACCCATTTTCTTGCACACTTTTTCTTTATATAAGCGCCTCTTCTCCGAGCTATTTTGTTAGTTTGTCTTAAGCTGCGCTCCGAAACGCATCGTTTCTAGTTAATTTTCGGTAAGCCATTCATCGAACTAAGTGACTTGTAACTTTTTTTGTCTTCAGTGAATCGTTTTCTGCATTTTTCTGTCCAAAAACCAACTCTTAATTTATTTCAAACGAATTCGTAATTTTTTTTTTCTTGACAATATTAACAGTTTAAAACTCTTCGAAGCAAATTAATCAAAAGTTGGATGAAAATCTTCCAACAAATTCAGGAAACCATTTGAAAGTTTGAAAATGTTGGCATTTCGAATTTGCTTGACTGAAAAAAGTCAAAGTTGAATTAGTTTGATTTAACGATTTAGTTTTTTGAGTTTAACGACGTTTTTAGACCGATTCATTTTCTTGAAGAAATGAACAATTCGAAAAATAAAATAAAATCGATACCCCCCTGACTAAATTTGTTTTTTTTTGTATATTTTTCAGAATTCAGACAAAAAAAAAATCGGTAAAAAATATGAATAAGTTTTTGGCTATTGTGAGCTTCATTTCAGTGCTAAGCGGAGCCTTAGCTCAATTTCCAAATGGTCGTTTCTTAGAACCGCCAGTAGCTGCATTGTGCGCTCAACGTGTCATCCATGAACGCGCTCCCGATAACAAAGGGTATGTGAAATCATTATGTTTTTTTCTTCATTGTTAACTATTTTTTGGCATAAAAACTGTGGATTTTACTTCGAATTTCACAACGAAAGAAATAAGTTAGTTGAAGTTTTAATTACTAGCTAGCGACTTGTCAGTTTTTTTAGTTAACGAGTTGAGAGTCTCAACTTGAGACTTTAGTGTATTGAGTGCGAATTTGTATTTTTGCACTAAATGTCGATAAAGTTGACTCAAAAATTCACCAAAACACCGAATTATCCCCGAAACCCCGAATAAATCCGAGCCCCCGAAAAGATCCCGACCGACACCCGACCGACAATGTCGGGTATCGGTCGGTTATCGGTGAGCATAGCTGATTGTCGGTCGGTTGTCGGGTCGAAAATTCGGCCCCGATGAGAACACTGGAATTTAGTTAAAAAAATGTTGTAAGTCGATGTCAAGTTGTAAATTTGTGCTTCGGTCAATTTCAGATACTTTTTCTCGTGGCGTGACCCAGCATTGAAAGGTGTTGAAGAAGATTGGTTGGGTGCCCGTAATTACTGTCGTCAACGTTGTATGGACTCAGTATCGCTTGAAACCAGCAACGAAAATGAATGGATCAAACGTCGTCTTGTCGATGATAAGGTACTTGTTTTGAAAATATGATTATTAACAACAGCAACAGAGAATTTATATACCTGTTATTGTTGTTGTGCCATATCTCTGAATACGCGCATTTAAAAAGTAATGGAAAACTCCACCATTCATTCATCGTATGAATTCTTAGCATCGATTCACATAATAAATTCAAGCATAATGGGCGCGATAATAAATTTCAAGTGAAATTTTATGTGTGGAGAAATGAGTTGTTTGTGAATGAAACGTAAAAATATATTGCGAAAAAGTAGTAAATATATGGGTGAATGCGTTATGCAATGCACGTGAAATAATGTGTATTTTCTTTTCGATTCTTCTTTCAATTAAATAAATCATGTGATTTGTTTTCCACGCAGCGTATTTTTTCTGATTCGTCTTCGTCTTCTTCAAAAACGGCTCTCAATGGAATTGTTTCGTTTTCTTTCTCGATTGTTTAACGTTCACACATTTAAAACGTAGCGTATATTTTTCGTTTCAATGATAAATTAACGTGCTAAAGATGAAATTTATCTCTGTGTATGTGTGTGTGTTTGCAGAAAATGAGCAAACGAAACGATGAAAGAAGAAAAATCGAAAGAAAAAGATTAAGCACAATAAAATAATGTTCATAATCGTGTTTATTTTTACTTCGATTACGTTTGCGTCGATTATTCCATTTCCAGTTTTCTTCGATGAAATTCGAACAATTTTCGGCTTTTTCGCTACAATCCCAATTGTTTGGCCAGTATGCAGTTTCCTCGATTGCCTCAAGGTTTTCTCTTGTTTTTGGCATTTTTTCAATCATTTCCATAATTGAATTTTTTTTATACCAACGTGACGAGGTCTGTTGAATTCAAGTTCATAAAGAAGCCTCAATGGTTTGTATGAAAAGGAAAAACTATGGCAAAAAATAAACTACGACACTATTACACAAGACAAAAATGAATTACAACATGTATCTGGTTTCGATTTCCATTACAAATTCAAGAATCGAAAGTTATTGAGAAATACTATTGCGATGGCAAAATCCCATTTCATAATGATTTCAATATCAACAAAAAAATGAATCAATTATTTCAAACGAATTCATCCATTGTGTGTGCATGAGTGAAAAAAATCTTCAAAACATGGCACTACACTTTTTGAAACTATGATCGCGGATCAAAAATTCAGTACACGTGCTCTCTCAAACAAATTACAACGCAGTATAATATAATAGCCGCTACGCAACTATTTTCGTCTGAAGTGTACGTGACAAAGCGGCATTCGGCCGTTTAATTACGATAAACTCGTTGTCGTGTGTTGTAATTGCTGACCATTTCTAAATCCAAATGAATGAATTTCGTGGATAAACATGTTTTTTTGAGCATTGTATCTAAAGCCATGTCACATTTTCACCCAGCAATATCTCTCTGCGCCTCCTTTGTTTATCTGATCGTGACTCTTTGCACTTGGAACGGCTTCAAGAGATGAGGTGCACGCCTTTTGGTGAGCCGACGAAAGGCTTTTTGTGAACTTAAGCATACAAAAATCTCTTTTCCCATATCTCGCCCATCGAACGCATCTTCAGCCATGAAAAGTGGCGGCGTTTAAATGAAAAATAAATCACCGAATGTCTGTTGGCCAATACATTAGTCACTCACACTTGGGAAAAAACGAAACGAAAAGAAATTCAAAAAATCACGACTTTTGTCGTCTTTTTACCGAGACAATGTCGTAAATGTGGTAAATTAAGAGAAGAATTGTTTACCAAAATATGTGCACGTTTAGCGAAAATGATAATGGCATCGAATGAGAAATTACCAATTACCATTTTTGAACGATGCAAACACAGTCAGGCGCTTGAACTGTAACCGAGTAAATACACTTATGTGAAACGTGCCTGCCGTTGTGTACACAAATTCTTTCTTCTATTTATAAACGAAACTGATCGGCGACAAAAAAAAACTTATTTTCTCTTTTCGGCCGACCAACGAAAAGAGCAAAAAAAAACTGCACACAGCGCGCAGCAATAAATCACAGAAATTCCTTTTCGCTTGGTACAAAAATTGTTTGTAGCGCATTCCTTTTCGCTCATAAATATTGAACCGTAAGCCAAAGTCAATAAATATTTAGTTTATAGCCGCTTCTTTGCGGTGTGCAAAAACTGAGTGAAAAAAAAAGAAATTTTCGCATCATTTACATGTTCTACGAGCGCAGAAAAGAAAAAAATTGTCAAATTAGCAATGCAAATTAGCATTAGTTTACCGCTCCCAATTCAACCTGTTCATTGTTTACATGAGGCTTTTTTCTGTTTCGTTTGCATCGTCCGATTTCTTCAGAACAATCAACAAACCAGACACCCGCGCGTCTCTTGCTACTCTATTGCTTCAAAATTAGCATTTCAACGAATATAAAATAGAGAATTCCGATGTTTTTTTTGCGACTTTCGCCAAATCCAAACAGCCTGTTTTCGACAATGCGAAGTTCATTGTTGTCAGCACCGTAAATTACCGTTTTTTTCACATTTTAACCATATCTCCGGCTTTCTTTCGTTTCAATAGAAGCATTGCGTAGGAAAAGATCGATTACCAACCAAACAACCAAAGAGTTATTGGCTTAACCTAATTGCATTTTAAATTCGAACACCTTTTGTTGGGATTTCTTTCTCACATCAAGAGAAATGCGCTCAAATTGAGAGAAAAATACGACGATGTCGACGAAGAAGAAGAAAAAGGAGAAGAAGAAGAAGAAGATGCATAAGCCATTCCAACATGAGTCACGGCAACAAAAGACTCTCATTCATACACATTTCTCTTTCTGCTTTGCATTCATTTACGCTTTCTTTTGAATTGTTCAACTTCGACTCTCTTCGCTACGCTTTGTGCGGATCTTTGCCATAGCATCGTACATGCATATATAGCGTCTGCTTGGTCATATCTGCATCTACGTCTGGGCAATCAGTGCTTTAATGCCTTCACATAATGATGGCATCAACGAAATTACATCGTCTCTCACCTGTTCTTTACGATTCACTCGAATGCACGTGCCAAGCGTGAACTCGTTTCATTCACTTTGAGCTATAACTCGTACCTATCTTTCTTTCAGTTTTGCATTCATTTTGAAATGAACGGCATTTTATGTTTTTTCGATGATATTTTTGCACTTTTTCTATATTTAGTTGCATTTTTACGGTAATTTTGTTATCGATGAATCTTTTGCAGTTTCTATTTTCAAACTTAATTGAACAGAATGTGATGAAGATGATGCTAAATTTCTTTTATTCTTTTTTCCAAATGCTACAAAATGTTAGCCATTTTCTCATCATTTTTATCATTTTTGTCTCATTTTCAGGTAAAATACATCTGGACTAGCGGTCGTATGTGTGACTTCAAGGGATGTGATCGTCCAGATTTGCAACCGGTTCAAACCAACGGATGGTTCTGGACGGCTGAATCGCAAAAAATCGCCCCAACCACCGACCGTTCCCAAGGTGACTGGTCTGAAAATGGTGGTATTGGCTTGCCACAACCAGACGATCGTGAATACAAACAAGGTGGTGCCCATGAAAATTGTTTGGCCGTTTTGAATCAATTCTACAATGATGGTGTCAACTGGCACGATGTTGCCTGCCATCACAAAAAACCATTTGTTTGCGAAGAAAATGACGCACTTCTCAAATACGTGCGTTACACAAACCCAAATCTCCGAATCTAAACACTTTCAGCAAATGCGTTTACAATAGAACACAATACAAAATGACTTTTACTTTTAATATTGATCTGTAAAGAAAATTGTTCTTCTTTTATTCATGTAAGATGATACCAAATAAAAAGATGAAATTATTAATTCAAAGTCGGTTCAAACGATTTATTTGCGGTTTTTCTTTTCAAGAAAATATTCTTCACAAACCATAAAGACATAAATAAAAATCGATTGGGTAATATCTTGAGAAATTAAATAATTCTGGAGAAAGTTGACGTGTTTTCTTGGGTTTTACTGCGAAGCGAAGGTCTTGACTAGCGTATTACTTTGTATGCAATAGTCATTCCAATCACCTGGAAGAAAGTTGAACTTTTAACTCGATTCACGCCGAGGAGCAAATCACTCTACAAATTACTTCAAAACTATTTCCATACTACTTCAAAATTACTTTCTATTACCTAGCCTATTTAGTAGGCAAATTAGAAATTACTTTTTACCAAAAGTCATTTATGTATGACAATGACATTTAACTAACATATTTTTTCAATGTACCGATGTATTATGATGACAGCTATACCAAAAATTACTTTTATACTAAAAGTAATTTTTAAACAAAAAATTATATAGGCCTTACTATTATGTTCATTTTTCTACTTTATTGGAAATTACTTTTTAGTAATTTGCCCTTCGATTTACGCCCTTATTTCATCATATTTTTTATTTTAGTGTCAATTTCAAAATGTGAATGATCAAAAACAGCTATAAAAGGCTAGTTGCAATGAAACAAGCAACTTACACTCAAATAGTAGTTTTACTAAATGCTTCCAAATTCAAAAGCACAGTGTTTACCGCAATGGATGAAAGTGGCTTTGTTTGAAATGAATAAATTTTTGTAAATGTTGTTCAAGTTCTTTGCGAATTAAAAGAATTACATTCATAATCTTAAACTTTTCCGTACTTTCTGGATAAAAAAAATTGTTATCTGTACAGTCTGGTTTATTTGTAGTAATTTTCTTGAAATGTTTGGAATCAAAAGTCGCAAGTGTCGATTTGACACAGAAACTACTTCAGACCGAAGCTATCCATTGGGATTGTATACACAGAATCTGTGTTTAATGAAGTGCAGTTTAATTTTCCTGTCACCTCAACTCAGTTTATTTTCTACCAAGTGATGACACACAAATTCTTTTGTAGTTATTCCCACATTGCAATGAATTATTTGGCAGACATTACCACGATTGTAGCGATTTATTCAAGTGACAAATAGTTAACAATGAGGGGGTGTGGTCAACTCGGTTAATTTTTAGTAAATATGGAACAAACTTTTCAAAGCGAAAATGTTAATTGAATCCCTTAATTTCAGTGGTTTAGATTAGGACAAAATACCATTAACCTACAATAAATATGAAGGAAGCAGTAAATTTACTTTTGGCGTATATCATAGGAAAAGATACCATTTTTATGTAAACTAACACTTTTATTCAGAGATTGGAAAATGTCTGCTGTATGGCGCTCTCCTGCGCCTTATATAAATTATCGTGGTATTTGTTGCTAGATATAAAGTTTCACAATAATTTTACCCTTTTGAATAAGACGATATATATAGCATGCATATTGCAATCTCTGTTTTTGTTCGAATTTTTTTTATATTCAATGTCAATATTTCACACTTCAGGTTTATTTTCATAGTCCAGGGCTGGAATTCTATGACATTCCACCAAAATCGTTCGGAATTATTTTTTTCGTACGAAAGACTATATTGGAGTGAAAGAGAGAGATTCCACTGATTTTCATCTTTCTACCAGAACACTAGTAACACCGATTTCGAATTGCCACAAAATGTTATGTTCCATATGCGTGGCGAATACGTGGCACGGAACACATTTAGTTGCATATAAGTGGCATTCATGTTGCAAAATGTATTAGTTCCATATAGGTGGCATTGATGTAACATATATGTTCCCAATATTTATTTAGTGACACATCAGTGGCATAAAAGTCGCATATGAAAGATTTTGGGACTTGTTTTAGTGGGCGTAGCTTACTAGTAGCAAATAAGTAACAAATTAGTGGCAATTTTGTTCCATAGAAACTTGTTCTAATTATGTGCCCGCAACAAAAATAAAACAAAATTTTTTATTGGGGATCTGATACAAATAAGATGTTCAGTATTGCATTTAGCTTATATATGTGCTGAATATAAAATTCTCAATATGATGATGACGATATATAAAATAAATATTTATTTCAAATTTTAAATTTCATATGATGTAATTATTTAGTATTTGTAACATAAATGGAACATACTGAGAACATTATTGATACAAATCTGATGTTACAAATCGTCGTTGGCCACATAATAAACACAAATAACGATGCCAGTGGCATAGAAGTAATAATAACTTCTATGCAACACATTTTTTGTTACAAGGAAGTGGCCATCACTTGTATGCAACAATATGTGGATTGCAGTTACAATAGATGTGACAAAGTGCTATTTGCAACAAATCATTGACACAAGTTTGTGTTGATGTTTCATCACGGAGGACGGTAGTCCGACAAGTGACGCACCATAGACTGTGCATTTCAAGCCAAATATCAAAAATGCCAGTTTTTGCGTCACGAGTATATATATACAGTAAGTATGCTTTTTTCTCAGGGCGCTATTTGGGCCCCGGCATGTTAGATACCGTTGGAAAGGTCTTGGCCCAAATAGTCGGAAACACCATATCCCCCATGCCCAAAGTGTGGTCTAGGCAAAAATATAGCGGTTGGAAAATTTCGATAAATTTTCAAATCTATACCCATATCTTACGAAGGGGGTACCCAGGGGGTGGTCTGAGGTGTCCAAAAACTCCTCCTTGCCACCTTTCCAACGCCGGTCTCAGTGCCCCGATTGGTCCAAAAACGAAAAAGTTATGGGCATTGGCAGTTTGGCCATGGTTTTTTATGAATGTATTGATTTGTGCGTCCGTTCGTCCGTTCGTCCGTCTGTCCGGAAACTTTTTAGACCCCCACAGATTCCGGTGCCGATATGCCCAAGCTGTAGCTGATGTCGGGCCACATCGAACCCCGTCCTCAGATTGACATTTGCATTACAGGAGAGCTGGCTATGGCTTCACTACCCTGCATGCATACGATTTTTTCAAGTATTTATTTCGCACACTAGATCAACTCAGACACCCATCGGGCAAACTCAGCTCGTAATTATTTGAGAAGACCTTCAAAAAGTTCTATACACACATGCCAATGTTTATGTGATATAAAAGAAAAAAGTTGATTTTTATGAAAAATCGACCCCCTTTAATTTCACACCAAACGCGATTTCTCAAAAATCAGCCCGACAATCTTTTACCAAAAACTGAGCGTTTGTAGCCGGCTACCATATCAACAAAATGGCATATGCCACATATCCGGGAAAATTCGTATTTCGAAGTTCTGGGTATAGGCAATTCATCAATGAACGGAATTTGTACGAAGAGTCGCATTCTACGATGAAATTGCTGTCGAAAACACGCATTGACTGGCTGGAAAGGCTCACGAAAGGCCATATCCGCTCAATTTTCGACGAGCAATCGATTAAAAGTGGTCACAAAACGATCTGAGGGCATTTCATGGTCGAAAAATAGGTCAGATTGAAGTGAATTTTTCAACTTGCTCTATTTTCACTGAAAATGACATTTTTGTTCGGAAAACACGTGAAATACACCTCTGACGTCGTTTTGGTCTTAGAAAACTGCTATTTTTTCGTGAAAATAATGGGAGTCCACGAACACTTGAATATCCATTTCGTTGTCATTTTCGTTGAATGTATGAAATTGAACTTTTGTTCGGGGGATACATAAAAAATGCACTTTTCAGAGCTTCGGTGGCTGGAAATTAATATGTTTCAATGAAGTAATGGGTCTAAAATTACTTCAAAACTCTTTCAATGGATATTTTGAAATTTAATGACATTTTACAATGTCCAATAAGGAGAAAATGGGACTTTTTTAATGAAAGTGGAAATTTGCCATTTACAAAACTTGTGAAATGTGGATGCAAATGTTTTACCCGAAAAATTACAATTTCCCAATGATAAGACCTTAAAATAGACATATTTCTGGCAAAAGTGTATTTTTTCCGAGAATAATTGCCTTACAAAATTAGTGATATCAGATGAAAAACCTCTAGACGAGGCTAAAATGGAGTGACGCTCCGTACGTGGATTAAGCACTCAAAATGACGGATATCATTTTGAGTGACGCTAGGAAGCTGTATTATCACTACATACGAGGTTCAAAAGTATTTTTGGCATTCACTATTGTAAAAATTCACTCACAATAAGGAAAAATATCTTGCGTCACGACTTTTGATTTTAGATCAAGTTTTCAAGCGTTTTGCCGTCTAATATCGCAATAATTTGGCTGGGATGATGAAATTTAGTGGAATGCCTCTCTTTCACTCCAAAATAGTCTTACGTACGAAACAAATAATTCCGAACGATTTTGGTGGAATGTCATAGAATTCCAGCCCAGAAGAGTTACCGAATGGGTATTACGGATATTATTCTTTCCTATATCCCAATGTAGAGTAACTTAGTTCTTAAAAATAATCAGAATGTGGCTAACAAAATCAATATATCCCTATAAATTCAGTTTGTCTCTTTTCTCTCCTAGAAAACACAAATTGAAAATGATATGGATGTACGAGACTTATCAATTGAGTAACGACAATGCCGATTTCCAGACGAGCGCGGGCCTTTCATTCCTTCCCTATCCTGCAGTTTCAATGGAATTGAAGCTTTGTAACTGCACACTACACTTTGCACTAGTCCAATGTAATGAACTTAGCTCACAAATCAAAATAATGGAGTAGCGTTCTGTATTTATTCATTGACTTATTCTCTTTTATCCGATAGACAAAAGTCAGTATTGTAATTACACAGAGACGGAATGCATTTTAAAACAATATATCTTTAATTATGCGCAGAGGTATCAAAAATTAAGGGTGAACACTGTATCAGTTGAAAATAATTTATTAATGGTAATTTAATGACTTTTTTTTCTATCATAGGTATCATGAGAATAAAAGACCATGCCTTTTGATTTGTCGAGGAGTACATGTTGGCCTAGTTAGTTATGTAGATTGAGTAAAATTATGGAAACAGATCAAATGAACCCATGGAAAATTGTAATGAAATGTAATTATAAACGTTGGTACGCAGAAACGGAACAAATTTTTGTTGTAATGACGGCATTAAAATAGCCGATATCACCATTTTGGTCTATGATAATACATTCCGAATGGTTAGTAAGGGAGGGCTTATTCTGAATTTCATAAAAACAAAAATTTTCCGGGGAATTAAGTCCACTTCTGCGAAAAAAAATCTTTTCAAACCAAACTTTGAAATAAAGTGCAGCAATTATTCTCAGCGGTCCAAATCAATACGATCAAAACAAATCTAATTTTTATTCAAGTTTAATCGATTTTCAGATGTTATAATAGGTTTAAAGTCGTCGGTTATAAAGCGGTGAACAAGAGTGATACAACATTGTCAATTACAACAGTGAGCGTAGAAATAAATAGCCAGCCGAAACAATTAACTCGATCAGTGCGTCTCATAGGTTCTGAAATAGTCTGATCTCGTTGATCCTAACCCCCCCTGGAAAAATTTGACCCCCAACGATTTTTTTGGACCCGTTGCCATTTTCGGACCTTTTTTGTTGTTTTAGACCTCACTTTTTTCTGGATACCGGTTTTACACTAGATAGAATCGATTTTTGAGAGCGAGGACCTTTTTTTTTTTTTTTGCTCTTCAAATTCGAATTTGCGGATCACCCCCCCCCCCCCCGGTCAGCAATTTTTTTCGGGAAGAAATTTACACTAGATAGAATTGATTTTTTTGACCCCCCTTGAATTTTTGGCTTGACCCCCCCTGAATTTTTTGGTGTCAGAACCTATGGTGCGTCTTACAAACCTTGACTTAGTCATCACCATCGACAGCATTTTCAGTCTTTTTTCGGTGCATCGCTGCTCAGTTTGGTCGAAATTATTCATCTTTGGATTTTTCATCGATTTTAATTCGTTTTTTAATATTTCATAACTGAATGAAATTACTCTTATTAATAATAATCGATTCTTTCAAGTTTGATGTTTAAAGTCATAATCACATCGCGGCAGCACGAGCATATACCACTAGCGACATCTTGTTGCACGCTATAATAATGCCTTTTATGTTTGTATACACTTGACGTTAATTTCAACACATTACTATATTGGGCAACAAGGTGTCGCCTGTGGTATATGCTCTTGCTGCCACGGTGTGGTCATAATATCACAATTGTGCACTTGAATGAGTGTGTTAGTTTTCAATACAATGTGTGTGTATCAATTTTAATTGTTAGCCCAATGACCCATTTTTACCGTTACATGAAACGTACATTGTACAATGTACATGTACTAACTTCGTTTTTTTTTCTTCCTTGGGGTCGAAACTTTGAATTTATTAATTCCAAAACAAATTCTGGCCTTATGTTTAATTATTATCTGTGACTATGTTCAAATTTTATTTAAATTCTTATTCTGATACAAAACGAAAAATAGAAATATTTATTCGCGAACGTTTTCGGTAAACCTTTTCACACATAGATTTGACCAAAATTTAATACACTTGCTTTACAGTTTATTACTTCATTCTTCCTCAAGCAATGAAACATAGCAGATAAGAGTTTTTAAGTTCAAAATGGGATTTTTATCACATTTCCGCAAAGATTTTGTTCATGCTGACGATTTAAAAACAATCAGTTTGGATATGGAGTTCTATAAAATGACGTATTTGAAGCTGATATTATAGTTAGATACAAACACATGTTAAGATCAGTTCCATTCAAAATAAAAAGTTTTACATTTGTAAAACATACTTTTCTACACATCTTTGTGTTATAACACCATTTAACACGACTTACCATTAGAAAACCGTGTTAAAATAGCAGAAAAAACATTTTTCTTGAATATTTTTCTTCTGAAAAAATCCAAGGGTCTCCCCCCTTTGGTGAATTTCTATGATGTACCAGATGAACTGGCCCAAATTGGTCCAACTTTCAATACATCCAAGATATTTACATACAATACCTCCTGGCCAAATTTGAGCGAAATCTCCCAAAAGGTTTGAAAGTTATCGTGGATACAACAAAAATTCGTTCGCGTTTTCTCACGACGATCGCTATACTTTTCTTCACACACTGTGTTTGCGGAAAAGTAAAAACCATTGTGATAAGAGTTCTGAATGTAGCATATGTGCATAAGATCTGTAATAAATTTGTCTCCTTGAAGTGCGGTTCAGTTGTTTTTTCTCTGGAGATAGATTGAATTTTTTTTTCTTCAAGTGCTATGTAAATATTATAATGAAAAATCGCTTGGTTTTGTAGAACCACTTGACGATTTCATAAAATCGCATCGAATTATAAAAAATTTCTGGACAATTACGTAGATCATGAAGTTTTACATTACATTAATGCTATTTCTTGGCGGAACATCATTTGGTATTCATTCAGGTAGAAATAAGATTTTCTTTTGACTTTTAATTCCATCAAAGCATATGCAGTTTTTTCTATTCCAGATTCTCGATTTAAAAGGGAAACTAGAAAGTAAGTAATTAAAAAATCAACCAAAACAAAGGTCTGAAGTCATTCAAAGGATATTTAAATATTTCATGGTATTTTGAACATAAATTTCAGTGTTTCATGGGAGACAATTTCTGGTGCAATTCAAGCTGGTATGGTGTGATTAAAATAGCATTCAATTCATCGTTTCATATATTATGGAATATAACTAACGTATGAGTGAATACAATCTATAGGAAATGTGAATAGAATAAAGGAATGGATTCGAAGTGGTGTAGATTTTTCCATTAAAAATCAGGATGAATGGACACCACTGATTCTTGCAGCTTCTGAAGGTCAATCATCAAACTCATCAAAACTGAACATAATTCAAATTAAATAAATTTATTTAAATTTCGACCAATTGCTTCTCAGGTCAAGATAAAATAGCCGAACTATTGATCACAAACAGTGCATATGTCAATGAAAAAACAAGATTTGGATATACAGCTCTTCATGTAGCGGTACAAGAGAGTAAATATAGGGGAAAAAATATTTGCTCTGAAGAATTAAAAAAGAGAAAAATAGAATTTTCTGTAAAAAAAACTAAGGATAAAACAAGTTCAATCCGTTTTTAAATCAAATAATTATTGATAGTTAATCCAATATGATTCTTCTTTAAAAACATAGCCTAGTTTTGTGTAAAAATGAGACGAATGTAACAAAAATCACTGGAAAATCACTTTTCCTTAAAATTCTATGGTGATTGACCAATTTAACTGGTGTGATTACAGATCATGAAACAACAGTAGACTTATTGTTGAAGAATGGAGCCGATATAGATTTGGCAAACAGTGACGGGTGGACCCCATTGTTCACTGCATGTTCCAAAGGTTTTTTTTTACAAAAAATGCTAGTGGTTCACTTTTAAGCAATCAAACGTATTGTTTCAGGACTGGATAAAATGGCGGAATTATTGATCGGAAAAGGTGCAGATGTGAACATCCAAAATAGATACGGATACAAAGCATTAGATATTGCTTTGCAGAAAGGTAAGCGAGTTGCAAACAAAATGTATAATGTACAATATTTTTCGAACTAAAATTAAAAAAAAAAAACTTCTTAAATTCCTATGTACGTGAATTGAATTGTCGAATCACAGGAAATGAGCGAATAGCCGAATTACTAAGAAACGGTGTAGAAAAATTCGTGAAAAATGAAAATTCAGCTTTGAATCGAATAGCGCAAAGAGGTATGACCCAAAAATGTCTTTAGTGTTAAGAATTAAAAAAGAAGTTTATTCTGTCCTAAAGAATAAAGAAAAAATTCAATTACCTTTCGTCTTTAGCCTGTGAAATGTATTCACAACAACTACGACCGTTTCATATCAGTGATCGTGTTTTGGGTGGTGAATTAGCTGCATTTAGCGAATTTCCCTGGATGGTATTCCAATATGTTTAAATCCTCGAATTTTCAATGAATTGAACATTCCCTTTAAAATTATATTCGTAGGCCGCTCTGGGGTACATTGACAATAGCGACTACGAAGTAACTTTTGATTGCGGAGGAACAATTATATCTGAGTCATTCGTTTTGACAGCAGCACATTGTGTTAGAGGTCGGCAGCCTGTTGTAATTCGACTGGGGAAAGTAAGTAAAACTGGTCAAATGAAGCTACATGCTTTGTAAATAATAAAGTGCTGAATGCTTTGTTATTTTCAGCGGGCACTAACAGACAAAGATGGTATTAGACCGGTAAATCGTCAAATTAAGGTGAGAATTGAAATGAAAATCACTCAAATATGAGCTCGTCTTAAAACGTATAAGTTAAAAGTAAAACGTTGTAACATCTAACAGGAAATCATATCACACCCAAACTATTCACTTTTAACCAAAAGAAACGATATTGCTTTGATTCGAATGACAAGAAACATTACATTCTCGAGTAATATTATGCCAGCATGCTTGCAAACGAATATGCGTGATGAACAAATAAGCGTAAAACTGATCGTGACAGGGTGGGGTAGCATTTCGGCTGAAAGTGAGTTGAACTCGATGAGATCAATTGATTTTAACATTTTTTTTTCACTCCTTTCATCTCATTATTATACAATATTGAATTCTATTTGAAAACAAAATATATTTTTCTTCTCGTGAACAATCGATGAAAGGAACTGTGAGATCAACGGACTTGCTCAAGACGCAATTGATATCAATGCCGTTACTGGAATGCAATTCAACTTTTCTGAACTACAGTAAACAGGTGAATCATGCAGCTTTTAGAGATGGACTTATCGAAGGGCAATATTGTGCATATGATCCACAAGGAAAAAACGACAGTTGCCAAGGCGATAGCGGTGGACCGTTACAATTTTTTAATGCCAGCTCATCAACGGCGACTGTTGTTGGAATTGTTTCATTCGGTATTAGCTGTGGCACACTTCTGCCCGGTATTTATACCCGAGTCGCCTATTATTTAGACTGGATTGAACCATTTGTATGGCCAAATCTATGAATCAGATAAAGAGGTTTATTTTGAAAAAAGAATATAAAAAACTGAATTTTTTATATGGCATCATTGCTTGTCATTTGTTGAATAAATTTTGGAAAAAGTAGAATAGACAAACACAGCGCCGTAGCGTGACAAAAATTTCAGATGGGGCTCAGCCCCGGCAATTTTGAAAAAAAAATCTCAATTCGAATATATTTTTTTAATTTTATTTAAAACTTGAAATAACATAATTAGCCAATCTATTCGGAAAACTGATCACAAATTAAAAATTACTTTAAAATAATTCAATACGACGGCTTTTTTTTTGCATGAAATTCTTTCAATATGCCGATTCGATTGAGAGTTGAAAACGATGACTCACAAATAGCTGTAGAGCAGCCAAATGTTTCTGCGGCTTCAAGCAATTGGCAAGTATCAGTAAAAGTGCTTCCAACGGTGTAATTGTTTCAAGTAAGTTGAAGTTTTTATCTTCACATTGCGCTTTGTTGATTTCATAAAACTTCTTCACGAATTTCAGCTCATTCTCCTCTGGAATTTTGATGCCGACAGATTGCGCTCATTTGATGAAATTCGATCGATTTTTTTTCTTCAGAGCCGTAATGTGAAAGCATTTTGAAATAATGTTTCGAAAAATTCTAGATGGGGCGCAGAAATTTCCAGATGGGGCTGAACCCCAAATGCTTGTATGGACGCTACGGCGCTGGACAAACATGAAAAATGAATAAAAAAGTACAAGTGTTTTTTTTTTAGTTTATTACAGCAAGCATTTTTCGTGCTTGACTTTAATCGTTAGGTTGACGCAGATAACGAAAAACGTGTTGATGACACAAACGCCATTTTATAGCGATTATTTGGAATGAAAGACTTATTTTGCCAGTTTTATACCTTTCTCACGCATTCAAGTGCCCCTATATATTTGAGGACGAAGAGAGAATGTCAGTCATTTATTAAATAAAAGTGAGTAAAATATCAACTAACTAAATATCAAATTAAAATGGCATTCAACAAAGAACTGAGGTAAATAATGTTCAGAAATTCTTGTTCATGAATTTGTGTTTTCTCCCCACAGATGCTGGCCATTGTGCAAATTTTAATTCTGTTACATACCATCAACAGGTAAGCAAAGCATATATTTGCTAAATGATAGCTAGTTTTACTTGACAAATATTGATGGCTTCAATAATTTTATAGGTGTTGGGGTAATGTGGGTGGTGATCTTTATGAACAGGCAAAAAAAATTGCTGCCGAAAAGCAATCTGAAAATGAACAATTACAAGCAATATATAATACTTCAGTGGATGTGAGTTATCTTGACATGACATTTTTTTAAGACACTATTTCCAAGGCCCATGATCGCTCACGATTACAATCGTACACGATCTTACCTGTATATTTTATATGTAAAAGATCAAACACGATTACAATCGTGGGCGATTGTGCGCCTTAGAAATAGTGGCTTTAGAATAGAATAATTAACTTGGAATCCAGTATACTAGAATGATCAACAATGAAAGAACTCCACCAACAAGTGACAATTTGAAGGCTGACATTTTGTTACAATTTCAATACTTGGTTCGAGATCGTGGCTATTGCAAGAGGCAAACATTTCAAGATTGTGTGGGTAATTACGGAAAAAATATTCCAAAGGAAGATAAATGCCCAGCACGACTAGGTGATTGTAACGAAAAATCAAAGTGAGACATCTAAAAGACAATGACTTCAAATGAATAATTTTCTTTTTTCAAATAGGTTTGCTCCGATTGGTGGATACTGTAACAACTTGAAAAATCCAAATTTGGGAAGAGCCAACACAGCTTACATTCATTTACTAAAGGCGGTCTATTCAGACGGTATTCTGTTTTTGTTTCTCAATCAATTAAACATTTTTTCAATCACCTATTTTGAATATATTAATTTTATTCTTTTTTTGTCGATTCCTATATGAGCAGTTTGGAGCGAAAATGTAATACAGAAAAGTTGAGCGGAAAAATGTCAAATGAAAAGGGATAGCTATATAGTTCATTATAGTTAACTATACAGTTTACTATATAGCTATCGTTTTTCCACTCATTCATCATCGACATTTCTCCGCTCAACTTTTCTGTATTACATTATCCCTCCAAACCATTCATATAGTATACTGTATAGTAAACTATATACTATATATGTATATAACTATCTCTTTTCATTTGACATTTTTCCGCGCAACTTTTCTGTATAACATTTTCGCTCCAAACTACCCATATCTAATGCTGATTCCAAGTGCTCTGGCTTAAACTTAAAGCCGGAATTTAATTTTTCGAATAATAATAGTGATGATTTACCCCCAAACACCCGATGTATTTATAAATTTTAGCATTTTTTCTGCACATTTTCGTTGTTTTTTTTTCGATTTTTTCGATTCCTGTGGGAAATACCATTCTATCAAATTAAGGTGAATAATGAAGATTTGGAAAAAACGGCAGTAAATTTATGGAATTTGGGGGGTAAATCATCAATATTTGACCCAACAATTTTCATACCAATAATAAGCACGTACAAAAATGTTGAAAAATTCAAGTCCGGCTCTAAGTTGAAGCCGAGGCACTTACTAGCTGGATTAAAAAGTCGGGTACTTTTCGAATGAAAACACATTTTTCTCGCAAAATTTCATTTTATTTCTCAATATAGGCTCCTTTTAGCTCGATACAGCGAGCCCAACGATCTTCCAACTTTTGGATGCCTGCCAAATAGTACGATTTGTTCAATGTCCCAAAATAGCTATCTGTTTTGAACTCGACTTCTTCATTGTTGTAAAAACGCCTTCCACAAAGCCATCTTTTGAGGTTTGGGAACAGGTAGTAATCACTGGGGGTCAGGAGAATACGGCGGATGCGGAAGCAATTCGGGGTCTAACTCGTACTTTTTAGCCATTGCAACCATCGATGTGTGCGACGGTACATTATCGTCCAAAAAGAGGTTTTTTTCTTCTTCATATGGGGCCGTTTCGATGCGATTTCGACCACCAATCGATCCAACAATGCAGAATAATATGCGCCAGTAATCGTCCTTCCTTTTTGGAGGTAGTCGATGAAGATTATTCCGTGCGCATCCCAAAACACACTGGTCATTACCTTCCCCGCCCATTGTAGCGTTTTTGGTCTCTTTGGCGGCGGTGAACCGTGTTCCGTCCACTCTCTAGCCTGTTGACTGGACTCCGGAGTGAAGTGATGGATCCAAGTTTCGTCCACCGTCACTAATCGACGCAAACACTCACTCCGATTGCGGTTAAAATGGGCCAAATTGGTTTGAGAAGTGGGGTTACACGAATGCGTTTTTGTTGAATTGTCAGCAAACGCGGCACCCATCTTGCGCATAGCTTATTCATATGCAAATGTTCATGCAATATGTTAAGCACCCGTTCATATGAGACGTTTACAGTCTCAACTATCTCACGCACTTTCATTTTCGGATGATTTAACACCAGATCATGTATTTTGTCTATCATTTCTGGGGTAGTAACCCCATTTGGACGACAAGTGCTATAACTCATGAACTAATGGTCGGATTTGGCTTCAATTTTGAAAGCTGTCTTCTGAAAGATGACTTGTCAAAAACCATAAGGATTTTGTATCAGTGTCTCCCTCTCGTGGAAAAGTACCTGACTTATCAATCCACCTAGTAGAATAAGCATAAAAGAAGACTTTTCATGATGTAAATTTTTATAATTTCAGGCATTAGCAAAATTCGAAAAGCTGTATCTGGAGAAGAGCTGCCCAGCCCTCGTTTAATCGGAAACATGTTGTCCGATCCTAGTTTTGAGAACAATTATAGCAACGAGGTCTTATCGGATACAAATAATATAATGGGTTTGATGTTTGGTCAACTTTTAACTCATGACAGCAGCAGTCGATTGGCGTATAACGTCAAAGGTGACATTTTTGTTTCTTTGCATAATTTTTGAGTACTTCTAGAATTCGGTTTTTCGTATTTTAGGTGGTAATGTACCAGGACCTCGGTGTTGTACACTATCAAATTCTGGTCCGTTGAATCCACAGTATACCAATCCCAATTGTATACCCGTGGATATTCCCAAAAATGATCCATTCTACTCAGAAGTCGGTGTTCGCTGTCAGAGTTACATACGTATGGCTCGAACATTTGACCATGACTGCAAAATTTCTTATGTGCAGGTAATTTAGGTGCAATGATTGTGTTTAATTGATTTCCGGGAACATGCTATGTCTTACAACCTACATGTTTATTTATTTAACGTCAATTGCAAAATCGTATTTTTTTTATTCATGCAGACAGACCAGGTGTCATCCTATCTCGATCTTTCGATTATCTATTCGGAATCACCGAATACCTTGACCACATTGCGAACAAATTCCAGTGGACTGCTAAGAACGAATTCCAAAAATATCCTACCTCAGAGCGGTACTATTTATGTTGCTGGCGATCGACGCGTAAATCAAACACCGATGCTAGCTTTGCTCCACTCCTTATTCTTTCGTTTGCATAATACAATTGCCAAGAATTTAGCCAGCGTCAACCCGAAATGGAATGATAATGATTTGTTTTTCAATAGTCGACGCCTCAGCATTGCTATTTATCAAAGCATTGTTTACAACGAGTGGTTGCCGCTTTTCATAGGTAGAACCATTTTTTTCTCTTTAATTTCATTCAGACTTCATTCTTCTGAATGTTAACTCATCCCCTTTCCTTTTTCCTATCGTTCCTTTTTTTGGTTCAATTGACGAGAAACATTTCTGATTCCCAGGCAAACGAGTTTGTGAGCTTCGAAAATTGAAATGTGGTGGAAAGACAAAAATTGCATGCGACAAATACGATAGCCGCATTGATCCGTCAACTAGTGTTGAATTTGCACACGCTGCATTTCGATTTTTCCATAGAATAATCCCGTCCACATTCCAAATGATTGACAATCGTAACCAATTGGTTGGTCATCTGTTTTTATCTGATGTATTATTGAATGGTAATGCAACCATATTACAAGATAAATATGATGATCTGTTGAATGGCATGTTGAAACAAACAATAGCTTATGTCAGCCCGATGCACACACCTCAGGTTCATGATTCACTTTAAAGCGTGATTTACTTTTGGCGTTATATAGAAGAAGAATTAACTCTATGAAATTCTCCATTTTGTCTATTTAGATACGAGACCTAACTGCAAAAGTCCCATACAAAGGCCACCAAGTGGGAACTGATCAATTTTTGAATGATTTGATGCGAGGTCGTGATTCAGGAACGGCACCATTTGTTGATTTCATTGATTATTGTTTGTCAAAAAAAATTAACAAATGGAGTGATTTAAGGTCTTATTTCAAAGATAAAGAGTATCGAGCCCTCAGAAATTTATACAAAGATGTCAGGGATATTGATCTATTAGTTGGAATATTGCTCGAAACGCATCCAAAAAATCGAATCGGTCAAATTGGGGCGTGTATTATAGCCGATCAATATCATCGACTCAGATACGGCGATCGATTCTTCTATTCGAATCCAACTAATCCGAATAAATTTACTGCAGGTATGAATCCCGTACTAAGTCTATCAAACAGATTATTACATTTCAATTTTACATTTCTACTTTCTACAGCTCAATTGAGTGAAATCGAGAACACGACATTCACGAAGGTTCTTTGTCTCGTGACAAATAGCTCATCAATACCATATCAAGCGTTTGTGACAAGTTCCCTGACCAACCCAATATATATTTGTGAGAAAACGTTTAATTTTGGCCTTTTTAAAGCGTAATTTTCGAACAACGGGCTTTAGCCAGCTTTCTTGATGCGAAATAAAGTTGAACATTTTATGGGGATTTAACGGGTTTATTTTCTTTATTGAAAATGAATGTCATGTTTGACATACTTTTTTTCAAAGATTTACATGTGTCTTGATCACACGGAGTTATCAGGACGCACGTTTTAAAGTTTTGGATTTCCATCGAACGAGATGGTGAACATACTGTGTAGTGTGTATATATCCATCTCTCTTCCTCGTCGAAATAGAAATTAACAACCTCATAACGTGCGTCTTGTAAACTACCAGTGGTCTTGATTATCTTATGCAAAAACATCAATTTTCGCTTCATTATAAAAGAAATGTTATCCACATTAAAAAAATGCGTTTCTTTTATTGTTTGTTCCATTAAAAAATGGAGGCCCAAATTTTCTTTACCCATCCTGAATGTTTGGTAGCCCCAAAAACGGGCCAGGCGGTATCTGCGAAGATAACTCAAGATTGATCAAAAGGGCACTTCAAACCCTAACTTGTGTGAAAATTTGATTCATCTTTGATCGCGTTGAAGATTTTTATCAATAGTTCAAAAATTCTGAAATTACATATACATACAGACATACAGGGTCTCCAGAGGCAGACCCTGCGGAAAAAATTTGGCTTTCTGAGTTTTTGCTCAAACCCGTTTTAAATGCAAAGTTTCAGTCGATTCTGAAGACCTCATGTGGTTTTTGATTGATTTCGTGTGGAGTGGTCGGTCGACAGAAAGAACAACAGAAACACTAAACTATTTATTTGTTAGCTAAACGTAAGCTGTTAATTCGTTATTGGTCCATAAACATCAAATTTGTGAAGGTGTCTCGTTTGATAACATCTGTTTCGAATTATTTGGTATACATTGTTTCTGAATATGGATAATAATTAAAGGTTTGAAAAAGTAAGAAATTTCTCACTAAAGGTGGCAATAGGACAGATTTTGTCCGTCCGTTTGGGGTTCAAGGACGGACACTTCATTTTTGTCCGTCCGTTTAGAATTCAAGGACGGACAATTTTATTTTTTCCGTCCGTTTATGGATTTGGGACGGACGGACGGACATTTCGTCTATGTCCGTTTGATTCATTTATAATATTTTGTATAAAATAGTATCAGAAATGAATTCTCCGTCCAAAAATAAGTGATAATAGCTTATCAGATGTTTGAAAAATTCAATTTTCGGTTGTTTTTCGGACGATCAAAATGCTAAACGGACGGACAAAATGAAATTGTCTGTCCTAAAATCCCAAACGGACGGACAAAATGAAATTGTCCGTCCTTGAATTCTAAACGGACGGACAAAAATGAAATGTCCGTCCTTAAACCCCAAACGGACGGACGGACACGAAATGTCCGTCCTCTGTCCGTCCTTTTGCCACCTTCATTTCTCACGCATTTCGAATGCAACAAATCTATAACTTTCAATATTGAAAAAAAATAACATGTGTGTTTTAACTTCAATTACTTTTACAGTTTGCACACGTTTATTCGTTGCCATGAATTCCAGTACTTCTAAATTTAAACTAAAAAAAAGTTTGTGATAAAACTGCCATGAATTGAGTGATAAGCAAACAAAATAAGAAAATAACTTTAAATAAATAACATTGCTTGGAGTAATTTTCCTACAAATAGTGCTTAGTAACTCGGTTCATCACAGATATATCCATACACACATTTTGTCATTCAAATATTTACATTTATTGGTGGCCGAATTTCAAACTTGACACGAAAATAATTTATTGTTCAAATATGATTAAAAACTAAAAATTTGATATTAATAAAAACAAGTAATTAAGCAGATCACATAAGGCCTGAATCGCATTCTATATTTTGGCATCAACAAATCTGAATTAAAATTTTTCTTTCATCGCAATTGGTGGTGAAATGACTCATTGTAATCAAAGTTTAATTCCGCCAACATGCGCGGCACAAAGTGTTGGTACAGTGAATCAAATTTTTGCCACGCTGTTGCAAACCTTTTTAACGGCTCAGTGTAGTATCTCCTCCTCTGACAAGTGGCCCCGTGACTATGGAAGAGTGGCTCTTGAGAAAGGTTTGGGTGAATACGATTTTATCGTGGTAGGAGCAGGAACATCTGGTTCTGTCGTTGCCAGTCGATTGAGCGAAATTCCATTTTGGAAAGTTCTTTTGATCGAAGCCGGTGGAAATCCGCCCATTGAATCTCAAGTAAGACTCGCACAAAAGAAAGATTACTGGAGAGGATGAAAGTAGGCTCAATAAAATTGATTTTGAACGCCTAAAAAGCTCGTAAAATGGACGAAATAAGTTCTGAATTTGGCTCAGAAAAACACTATTTTCGGCTTTTTAAGATCGAAAACTGCCAATTGGGCTTGAAAAATAGGATGTAATCAGTTTTAAAATGTGGTCAAAAATTGAGAAAATAAAAACTGACAAAAAATCTAAGGAAGCTGATGAAAATTTAATAATTTTTTGAGGATTTCATGAGTAAATTATGACAATTATATAAAAAAATATGTCAACCATAGATTTCACAACAGAAAAATATTCGCAGTAGAAGATTACCGCATTAAACCAGGTGCCCCAACCCAATAGAAATTCATTATTTTGTCAAAAATGTGCAGAATTCTCATTAAAAACATGGTTTTGGGCTTTCAGGCTCAAATTCATAAAATAGGCTCGATACCCCAAAATAGGCCAAATCCTAGGAGTTAGGCTCGAGTCTACTTCCATCCTCTTTGAAAATTACATTCGAATGAACGTTTCGAGAAAATTCAGACAATTTGCTTATGTTTTGGTTCTTTTCAAATTGGTTATAGATTCCCGGATTTGTATTCGATTTAGTGAAAACGAAAATAGATTGGAAGTTCTATGGCAATTCGACATCGGCATGTAAGCTAGCTGGAGATAGAGGCTGTTACCTACCTCGTGGAAAAATGCTCGGTGGAACATCGTCCATGAGTCACATGGTTTATGAGCGCGGAATCCCTGAAGATTTCAACGAATGGGCAGCCCTTGGCAAACCTGGATGGGATTATGAAAGTGTATTAGCGTATTTCAAAAAATTTGAAGGCAATCAAAATCAACCCTTTGTCGCGTACGACAATGGCCGATATCACAATGCATTCGGGCCTTTTAAAGTGGAAAGTGTTCCTTTGTTACCAATTGAAGATGCCTATGTAGATGCAGTCAAAGCTGCTCGAGCTCAGTTCGTTTCCGATGTGAATGCTGACAAATATCTTGGGTATACAGTGTCACAGGCGACTTCTTTTAATGGCACTCGTAGCAGTTCAGCGAGTGCGTTTTTGACTCCGGCCAGACATCGAAATAATTTGCACGTTATCAAACATGCATTTGTTCGCAAGGTTCTCATAAATAGAAATAACGAAGCTTATGGAGTGGAGTTCACCATCAAGGGTGGGCATAAAATGAAAGCATATTCAAGAAAAGAAGTGATCGTTTCGGCCGGAGTGATTCAAAGTCCTCCACTGCTGATGAGATCAGGAATTGGACCAAAGCAGCATTTGGAGAAACGAAAAATACCATGTAAGGCCAACTTGGCTGTTGGAGAAAATTACATCGATCATGTATTCATTCCGATGATATTCACCCTGAATATTAGTACCACACCTTTGTCGCCATTGGCCGATTTAGATGGTCTTTACCAATATTTAGTGCATAACTCTGGACCACTCGCGGCAAGATCAATTTTATCGGCGTATTTAAGTACGAATGGCAGCTCTTCACCAGACATTCAGTTATATATGGCAGGCTTCCCACGTGGATATTCTGAAACAGTACTAACCGATTTCATCAAGCTTACTGATTTCGAAGATGTATTGGCCGCAGATGTCATCAAAATGAACAAACAATACGATACATTTGCTGTGCTAGTTACATTGATAAAGCCCAAGTCTCGTGGTATGATTCGGCTCAAGAAGAAATGTTCGACTTGTAAGAGACCAGACATCTACGTAAATTACTTAACTGATCCAGAAGACAGAGCAACGGTGATACGTGCTATCAAAGGACAACTAGTCTTGGCCAACACTCCATCACTGCAGAAAATCAACGCTAAATTTATCCCAGTACCGATTCCGGAGTGCGATTCACTTGACAATCAATCGGATGCTTATTTGGATTGTTACATCACGTATGTCAGTTTCAGTGGAACACATCAAGTGGGCACCAGCAAAATGGGGGGATCGACCGATCCAAAAGCTGTTGTTGATCCACAATTGAGAGTTTACAAGACCAAACAATTGAGACAAATTGATGCCGGAGTGTAAGTTTTCAAAGTTGTTTGAACGATTTCTTTTTAGAATTAAAAGTTTAATATTTTATATCATTGTGGCATCACAAATGAACTTTTAGAATACCAGTTCCAATAAGGGGAACACCACAGTGGACTGTGATGATGGTGGCTGAAAAAGGAGCCGATATTATCAAGGGCAATTATTTAAGACGTGGAAATGCGAGAACGTAAATTTGGAGAGAACATAAAAGCCCTTTCTAAACTTAGTTGAGATGATAGATTCGATGGCTGAATAAATGTTTAGAAATTTACTACATATTTACTACAAAAACATTGTTTGTTTTTTTAACAAATTCGCCGCAGAATTCAAAATCCTTTGCAAAAATCATAAAATAATAGTGGTCAGACCAATATGACATTGTTGGCTATATTGCAGATTTGAATAAGAATGACAATGATAGTTGTTCCAATGGGCTAAAGGTTTTCAAGTCTCAATATAATATATTGCACAATATCGATGAAACTTCATTTATTTTATCACAAAATTCAGTTTATTGGATTATTTCTATGGGTGAGATTGAGAGTAGTTTATGTTTCATTGACTTTGTTACGAAAGAGAAGAATCAGTTTCTTTCGGCTTAAAAATATTGGGTCTATACCACGGCGTATTTTAGTGGCAATTCCGGCTCAAACGGCCAGTTCTGAAATCAGAACGGGCAGCTCTGAAATGCGATTCGGGCAGCTTCGAAATCGAAGGAAATGAAGAAAAAACATAACAAAAATTTAAAAATCGCGCTAAAGCAAGCCAAGATTTCAGAACTGCCAAACTGAACAAATACAGACAATAAGTCGCGCGCAAATCAAATGTGTGAGTTCTCTTTGATCGATATTAGGTATGATTAAGGTGACCAACCGTACGGAATTATTCCGTATCGTACGGAATTTTCGATTCGTTTGCGGATTTTTTCGCTCATACGGATTTGTACGGAATTTTACGGATTTGTACGGATTTTTAAAACTGCATGAAAATCTAAAAAAATCTATGAAAAAAATCTGAAATTCGCATAATTCATCTTTAACTTATATACGGAATTATTTCGAACAATTCAAGCATCAAATATATCATTATTATTTCATTTGGTTTTCAGTTCTTTCGTCTTTTTACTGATAAAATGAGTTTGCATCAACTCAAGGCCAATAGCGCAAACAACTGAAATCGATTTTCAGAAAACCAAAAAGTAAACCGGGAGCTAACGCAATTACTGAACGCATATTCTCTGACGTTACGAACACTTGGAAAACGGAATCATCGCAAATGAAGGTTGAGACTTTGAAAGCAATATTATTCGTTAAATCAAACTTAGATTACACATGCATTGAATTTTTCAATATTTTGAAAAACAATGAAGATTTGCTAAAGAAGATTGGTTCTCAAGATAAATATGATTTCAAAAATAATGAAAAAGACGAAGTTCAAGACTTAAATATGTCGATTGATGCGAGTTTGTGATTTAATAATAAGAATCTACAATGCGAAAAAAAATATCGTTCATTTACTGCATTTTCTAGTGTACGGATTTTTTGTACGGATTTTTTTTCAGTGTACGGATTTATACGGATTTTTAAGGTAAATTTCACTCATTTGTACGGAATTTGCCAGGAAAGGAGTTGGTCACCTTAGGTATGATTTTCACATGAATAATATAAATGTATTGAGTACGAAGTGCTGCATATCAGCGAAAATCGTTGCTGTAATTGTATTTTTGTATTGTCATGAATTATGTGTATGTATAGAAAACTGTGCATCGAGCATTGTCTCACACAGCAAAAACTCTAAATATTGATCGAATAATTATTGGCATAATTTTCATATGTATTGAGTTACTGAATACTGAGCAAGTAGCTGCAAGTATTGTCACGATGCTGTAATTATTACTAACGGTGCTTTGAGTCGCGACACAAGTGTTATTCGGCGCAAGTTTGTTATTGTTGATCTCAAACATTTGATAATTCATTCCAGTAGCTATTTCGAATTTCATAATTGTTTCGTACTTGTTAAAAATAAGTTTAAGAAATGTCGCAAAGTAGTGACAAAATTAAAGGTTTAAAAAGATTTTTTGTGCAAAAGAAAAAAACAGACGAAGGAAATCGTAAGTATAGTTTGTTCCTTCGTGATGATTTTTCGGTAGTGAATTTAATTTCGATTATCGCTATTCAACAGCAGAAAAAGTTTCACATGAAACTCACAGCGATAAGCCAGATACAGAAGCCGCAAATGCCGAACGTAAGTTGTTTATTCACAGTGATTCATCATCGATTTAATTGCTTTGCATGTTTACATTCAGAAATCGAACCCGCACCGAGTGTTGATAATAAAAAAACACAAAACTCGTCTGAATTGCTTGAACTCGAAACCGAAGAATATGAACGCGAATATGACACATGCATAAAATCATCTCAAGTTCAAATAACAAGTGGTGTTCAGCGTAATATCCATTGCAAAGTTTGTGTGAAATTTCCTGCTATTGTTCGACGCATGTGTGCAAACAACAAACCACCAGCTATTACATTGGAATCTGGCACGCGCTATCGAGCGAAAACTGTTGCTGATCACTTTGCGACGCCTTATCATAAAGAATGTAAACAAGCTGATACGGTCACCAAACAGCGATGGTATAAAGGAATTTTTGCCACTGCCGAAGATCAAGAAGACGATTACGACGAAGATTATTTATTAGAATCGAAGAGTAATAATATCAATTTCTAAATTGCTACAAGTTTCATTTACATTTGGATCAAAAAGATGATTTGTTGAATCAGCAAAATACATTCAATAAATATTCACAACATTTTGCACTCATCAAATAATTATCGGTTAACCGATGTGTTTCATTTTCTATCAATTACATAAATATTATTTTCAGCCTAGTTTTTTCAGCGATTTCTTAGCATTTTAGATTTCGGGCAGTTCTGAAAAATCACTAAAATACGCCATGAGATAGAGAGGAAGACATTCAAATGGAAATTGAGCAAAAAGACTAATTTTTTGCCAGTGCTTATGCATTTAAAACTAATGTAATATTACTGAAATATTTACACAACTGGTAAATATTGGTATTTAAATATGTTTGATTTTTTCTGATTTTATAATTTCATTTTTGGAACATGGTGACCGCTACTATCTAAATGGAGCTTCATATAATACTTATTGACTCAAGTTTATACAAAAGAAACATTGGTCAATAGTGCGGTATATCAAGCACAACAAACTACAAAACAAAAATATCGTGCTTTGAGTGGCGATACATTTTCATTTGTCCAAGATGTCTTCAAAGAGAGAGTTGGAGGTGATAAAAAAAAGAATGGAAGTTATCAAAACTCATCAACAAAAAATGTAATGTTTTAAGACAAAACTTGAAAAATAAAATATAATGCAATCAAACGATTTGATTAATGGACAACGAAACATAATAAAATAGACCACATTCGAAATAAATAGTTTTTCACTCAATTTAGTTTCAATATTCTCCTTTACATTCTGATAACTGGGTTCTTTGTTCAAATTCAAAATCAATATATCCATATCATTCATTTAAATTTTATTATTTATAATTCAAACTTGATGGTATTTTGATTTAACCACCAAGTGCCACCAACTATTTCTGGTGATTCTCTGTATTTGAATTCTGTTAAATATTCAGTACTTAAGCTATTCCATACTAATGCGAATCGAACAGTAGACCAACTGTCAAATATTCGCTCTAAATATTCAGTATTTAAGTTAAGTGTCAGCGTGCTGATCTGTCAAACAAATCAATATATAAACAACCATCAACAAGTGAGAAACGTTTAGTGAAACACATTTATTAAAAAACAATCATTTTGGAACGTTTATATAAAAAGTGATTCAAAATGTACTGTCCTGGATCAACCTTCAAAGAAAGATGGATAAAAGTCTTTCAATCTAGACCATATGGATGCTCAGTGAGAAATTTACCACCAAATACCAAATGTGCATACAGAGGTATAACGTGGGGCGAAATAAATGATCACATCACGAAATATCAACGCAGTATAGACACACAAAAACGTACCAAAGCTAGATATTATGAAGTGTTGGATGAATCAGAGTCGACAGAAGAGTAAATTTTAATTTCTTTAAATAAAATCAAACTTATTTAGTTAAATAATATCATTTCAGAGTTCCTGAACAAAACATATCGATTGAACAAATACAGCCAGTTGAGCCGCTTAAGAAGATAACGATGGATATTGAAACAAACATCACAGCTCTAGCAGGAACTATGGCGATCCAAACACGAAGCGATACTTCTCTTTCGGAGTCATATAGCAATCAATACGAAACTGAAACAAAACAAAACGTTTGGATAGAACTTCCTGAAATTGGTGCGGAAATAGAATTTCATGGCCCAGAATACACAGCTGACCTTTTTGATCAACAAGAAGTTATCCCGCTAGTCCACAGTGAAATTCCGCCGTCAAGTAATACTGTTTATGGCAGAGAATCTGCAATGTGTGTCCAGAGCCTTTCCTAGCGGGGGTTCAAGTGGTTCAAAGAACCAGGGCGCGAGCGCCGAAGGCGCTCGAGCGCTTTTCCTATCAATTGAATTTTTTTTAAATGTTCTTGAATGAAGCGCGGAGGCGCCAAAGGCGCTCGAGCGCTGTTTTTCATTCATATATTTTCTCAATATGGAACTCAAGGGCGCTGAAAAGAGTCTGAGGCGCCAAAGGGAAGCAATTCTTAATTTTAAAATAGAAAATATATTATTTCAAAATAAAGAACTGCTTCATTGATTCTTTTCGTCGCCCCTTTCGGTGCATTTGAGTTTCAAACTGAAAAGACGTATGTATAGGAGAGAGCGCTCGATAAAATTTAATAGTATGAGTTTTGATTCGAAGCAGTGCGAATTAAAACAGCGTCTCAAAAAAGTGCTAAATAAAACGAAACCCAGCGTTTTTTCGTACTGAGCTGTTGAACTCTATGTAGAAAAAACGCTGTGTTGCATTCAATACAGCGACCAATCCAGTACGGTGTTTTTGTTTTTGGCGAATCATTTGTGCATACGTAAGTAAAAATATTGCTATTGAATGTATTTTATCGCTCATAGACCAGCGGTCGTAATGCGATTACTGCTATTTAAGCACACTAGCACATGAAAACATCAGCCGCACAGCGAAAATATCAACATTGGGTAAGTGTTTATATGAAATTGAATTATGACGAATCACCGCGCTATTATCGCGCTGTTAACTCTCTCAATCGCATCACTTGTCACATTGTTTCTCTGAGTCTGTGCATTAACAAATTTCGTTCAAAAATTATTCATCGAAAATTCGAATAAATTCGAGTCTTTATTTTTCTCTGCCACAATGAATCTTGGCAAAAAGGCTTCTGGTGCCCAAAATAGGAAAAGACAGCTTGAAAAACAAGCGGCTGCTCTTGCGAATTCCCAAGATATATCGCGATTTATGACGAGAGGTAATTTGTATATCATTTATTATTCAAGTGATTGAAAGAATGTGTGACATTGAGTTCAATTTTAGAAAGAAGTTCTGATTCCATTCCTGATGTAGACGAAGAGGAAAATCAACACGATGAAATCTCAGTCATCTGGCAATTATTCTCGTTTCTGTATGATTTTGAAAACTATGAAACAAACCGAAACAACGGTAGTTTGCAGGAATCATGCAAGAAACTAGAAATTGCTTTAACGCACGATGGAAAATCAGATATCGATGGTGATGATTTATTTGTAGAACTTTCATTGGTTTCGACTTTGGTAAAACAGGATAATATTAATCATGCAATCGATATACTGAATTCAATTCAGAAGCGAAAAATGGAAAACTTAGTTCCAAATGCAGCTATTGCGCTTCGCATTCTACTGACGATCCCAGTTTCGGTTGCAACGGGAGAGCGATCGTTTTCAAGGTTAAAGTTAACCAAAACTTATCTCAGAAATGCAATAGGTCAAGACAGGCTCAATCATCTGGCAATCATATCAATAGAAAGCGATGTAGCAAATTCGATTCAATATGACGACGTGATTGAAGAGTTTGCAACTTCAAAAGCAAGAAAAAAGACGGAATGTTAAATCATTTTAATGTATCATTCTTTTGTTGCTTTTCAAATAAACTTGGATCAAATTTAGCATTTTTGCGTTTTTTTTTTCATCCACTTTTAAAAATTTCAGTTTAAAAGGGCGCCAACGGATTTTGAACCAGGGCGCCATCGAAGCTAGGAAAGGCTCTGATTGTTGTTAAAATATAAACCAACTACTTCTTATTTACTGAATCTATTTCAGATGTTGTACACACCAAAATTTCAGAGGGGAATGAGTAATCTAGATACAGTGCGAAATAGCGGTTTCAACT